ATGTTGGCTCCTCTCCCTGCCTTGCCTTCACACTCGCCCCCATTTCAAGACTCTATCCATTCCCAGGTTTGGTGTAAATGAATCCCCCTCCCTTTCCCACCCAACCTACTGCCCCTAGTCCAGGACTCAGAGCCCCCTGCCCACACCAAATGCCCCCGGCCAGCATTTGGTGGAGGCTTTTAATGAATGAGTGAGTCCTGGGTGTGTCCCGGCCCAGCCCCTGGCAAGCCTGCGGGATCCTGGGGATGGTGCTCAGAGCCCCTTAATGAGCAAGAGCCCCTTCCTGTCCTATGCCCAGTAGAAAAGCACGAGTCTCCATGTATGTTTCTAAATGGCATGTATTGTTTTCCACGTAATTACAAAGTGTGAGTACGCTACATGAAGAAAAGCACGGGAACAACAGAATCTCAGCAAGAACCACTCAGTACTTAGTGTGGGTAGTTCCTGGCTTTCCCCCAGGCTTGTAACATAAGTGTTTTATAGAAAATGGCATAATTATATTGCTTTCTGCCTACTCTTTTGAATTAGCATAATACATTTTCCATAAAATATATTTTCTCCTACAGTATGTTTTTTTTCTTTTCTCAACTTTTTATTTAGATTTATTTTTATTTTCAGAAAAGCTTAAAGAATAGTAAAATGAACAGCTATGTTGTATCTTTAGTTCAGATGGTTTTTAACATTTACACACACACACACACACACACACTTTTCTGTTCTGATGAACCAGTTGAAAGTAAAGGCAGCAAAGTGGCCCTTAAATCCACGTACTTCCGCGTGCATCTCCTAAGAACCTCCTGCACTATTTCCTTTAATGGCTGTGTCCTGTTCCATTAGATGGCTGAGCTAAGTGACTCTCTCACAGACACCCAGCCTGTCTATTCAGCAATCATACAAAGGAATGAACACCCGTGCAGGCAGCTCTCTACTGGTCCCTGACGGTTCCCTGGGCTCACTCTCAGCAGTTCACTGCATGTCCCCAGGAGACGTGCAGACACCCTGTCCTCCCAGGACATTTCCCAGTTCACCTTTGGACTTCTGTTGTCCAGGGGAGGTGCCAGAGCCAGACAAGAATGCGAACGTGGATGTCGATGAGAAGGGGAAGGAAGAGCCTCATGAGGATGGAGAAAGGCAGCAGAAAATAGAGCTGTTTGTCACGGAAAGCTTTGAGGCCAAGGATGAGCTCTTCCCAGAAAAGGCGAGTGTGTTAGAGGAGCTGCCTGCAGATGTCAAAACAGAGATTGAAGACCAGGATCCAGAAGGGGTGCTCCCAGCCGAGGCCCCCGAGCCAGCAACCCTTGGAGCTACCTGGGAAGGTAATGTTATAGGCACCAGAAACACCACAAAAGATGTTATCAGACGGCCCTGAGTCGAAGGGAGAGGGCTGTCCCCTCCTCCGTTCTTGTCATGCTCATGAGAAAGAATTCAAGAGAGTGACAGACAGCAGCGCGGTAGTAAAGCAAGCTAATGTATTAATGAAGCAAAGCAAGCAAAGTATTAAAGAAGCAAGGCAAGAAAATTCATCAAAATACACCTGGCATAAAGCACAGGTGGGCTCTCAGCTAATCTGAGTGTGAACTTGGTGGGAGTTCAAGGGGTTTTATGCCCTTCTAAAAGTCTAAAGGTTTCAAGGTTCCTCTGCTGGATATCTTGGGCACAGACTAGATTTCAAGGTCCCCCTTTTACTTTGTTGTGACTTTCCCCAGAATTTATGAGAACACCTGGCAAGTCCTGAGACTGCTCACTTCTTCGTTCAGTGAGTGAGATAAGTGCCCCCCCCCTCCCCCAGTCCCCGCCCTTAGCGGTTCCAGAGTGATTTAAGATATGTCTTCCCTGGTTAGGGAGGACAGGTATTAACCATTTATTCTCATGCCCTTAGTTGAGGACGATAAGGTCTTGCTGCAAGCTGGCTGCAAACTGCCCAAACTGTTTGGCCTTGTTTAATTTTCTTGCCTCAGTTTCCCTGTTCCACTTGTCCAGGAATTTTCCAAGCTTCTTGCTATCCCACTACAATGTGACCAGAACAACCCAGATGCTGGCTCCCAGAATCGCAATCCCAGATGAGTCATGCATCTGTGGGATCAGGGCAGGTTTCCACTTCTGGCTGCTGTTTCTATAAGATAAAGTACACACATTGTCTCATTATCTACAGCAGTGCTGTTCATAGACATATAACAGGAGCCATGCCTGCATTTTCTAGTAGTTACATTAGACAAAGTGAAAAGAAATGGACGAAACACTAACAATATAGCTTATTGAACCCATTATATCTAAGATACAGTAATGTATAAGATTATTTAATCTTATAATATTAAATATAAGATTATTTATAAGATACTTTATGTTTGGGGAGCACTAGGTTTTCAAATCCAATATGTTTTGACACACAGCACATCGTAATTCAAATGCGAACTTTTCAACAGGTAAAGTGAAAGGAAGTCCTACTAAAAGAAGGGAGTTGTTTTATACTGCTCCAGCTTTTAAATTTAATTAAAAGTAAAAACAATTAAGTAAACATAAAATAGTTTCTCAGGAGCACTGGTCACATTTCAAGCACTCAGTAGCCATGTGCTCTGGCTACATAGTGTGTGACGCAGGTCTAGGAAAAGGAACTCCTGGCAGGTTCTAGCCAAGATCCCCAGGTCCTTCCGACTAACAAATAAACCCAAGACTCGTCTGGGATGCCATCCTATCGCTGTGGTGTCAGTAAGGGTGTGCCAGACCTGGAACTTGTTCAGTCCACAGGGCCTTGGGGGACGGGTCATTCTGTTCCCAGCCTGTGCAGTATTTGAGGTCTGTTTGGGGACTTTAGCTGGTCTAGCCCAGAATAGAAGTTCCCCCAAAGCAAAGCCCCCCACTGTCTGGGAGAGGCCTAGAAGAACTGCAGATGTAGGTGTTGTCATACACATGCTCCTGTCTCATCATGGCCCGGCCTGTGGCTTTTCACAGTGAAACTGTGCCGTGCCTAGCAGCAGAGCAAAGCCAGCCTTGGCCTCAGTGAACAAAGGATACATTTCAAAAGGAGTGCGTCAACTGCCGCATCTGTAATTAACAGCTGCCGTTAAGACTAACGCTGGTTCTATATTTATCCAGCATGCATGGGCACTCGGTCCAGGCCACAGCTTCGCAGGCCGGCTTGGTTAGTCTCCTCAACAACCTAGGAGCCAGATGCTGTTATCATACCTGCATTTGTTGGAGCTGGAAACAGGCTCAGAGAGGTGAAGTAACTTGCTCCAAGTTGCAAAGCAAGGAAATGGTGGCGCCATATTGTGGGCCTGGGCCATCCACAGCAGCCACCACGGAGCCCTCTGCCTGCTTCCTGGCTTCATCCTAACCTGGCGTCCCAAAGTGGCTCTTCGAATCAAGCTGGACATAGCTAGTGCTCAGGTGGACACCTTGGACCTGTGTGTAATGAGAAAGTTGGGCCATTAGTCTTTAATGTAATAACTGAAGCCATGAGATTGATGAGAGAGCAGAGAGCAGGGCCCAAGAATATAGCCTCAGGGAGCTTAAAAACTGGCCCCTGGAGGAGGAAGAGGAGCCCCACCTGGACTCCATGTTTATTCCCAGGCAATCTTGAGACCATGGAACAGGTCTCCCTAACCCTTGTGCAGTGGGCGGGGCGTGTGCCCTGAGGGACAGGCAGCCCAAGAGGGTGGTGGGCTCAGCCCTTTCAGACAGGGCTGTGGAACTTGCCTCTCCAGCTTGCCTCTTCTCTAGCTCCCCAGGTGGCCTCTGATGCTATTGCCTTTCTCATTGCCCATCAATCACGCCTTTTCCAAGGTTCCTGTGTGTATTCTGCATTGATTCCTGGCTGGCACTTCCATGTCATCGCGTCATCTCCAGGCTCCAGCAGGGGGCAGCTCTCTCCCTTTCCCTTCTCTTTCCTAGACATAACCCTCTCCTAATCTGGGGATTCTCACAGCTTCGGTCACAGGGGCTGGCCTTTCAGACCAAGGTTTTGTCTTTCCTCTGCTCTTGGAATCCACCTTGACGTTGGCCTTGTCGCTCTGACTGCCATGTATTGTTGTTCCTTAGAATCAGCTCCCCAGATTGTGGCCACGGAGAACGCTTTGGGTACAGAGCCCGTTGGGCATGAAGATTTGGAAACCATCACGCTGAAGACGGAGGAGAAGCTCTTCATCGCTGTATGTACATAGGTGCCTGTGGAGATAAGTATCTGTTTTACAGCCAGTGAAACAGGTGATCAGATACAAACCCTTCAAAATTCCCACTCCCCTACGTGTGGTCCTTGGACGGGCAGGCTTAGCACCCCCTGAGAGCTGGTTAGAATGCAGACTCCAGGCCCCACCCAGATCTACTGATTTGAATCTGCATTTTAAAAAGACCTCCCCCAGCGTGTTCACACATTGCACATTCAAGACTGAGAAGCGCTGGCCCAAATGATTTCCCTGGAACCACATCTACAAAACTCATGATTTGTTTTCCCCAAAGAAGTTACACTGCTAGGCCGTTCAGTCCAGCTAGCCTTATACATAATGGCTGAGAAAGTTACATTTATCATCAGAGCCTCTAAGCTCCTTGGACAGCTGCCCAGCAAGTGGCTGATGCCATCTTCCTATCCTCTGGCTGCTCTAGCTTCCTGATGTGGCTGGCTGTCCAGTGTCCGATCCCCTGATGCCTGTCCAGTGAGGGGCAGCCTGACCTTCTGAGTATCTTAGCCTCATGAACCCTCTCCTTCCTGAAGCTCTGTTTTGTTAAGTCTCAAATGCTTCGGCCCAAGGAATGAGCGCCATGAAAATGCACACACTTTGTCACACCCCCCAGGAACGGGAGTGTGGTGGGGCAAGCAGTGGGGAGGCATTTCTCGAGCCTGTAGCCTCACACTTAGTGGGCAGCTGGTGCTCACTGTGCTCACCCGGAAGGACAGCCTGCTTCTCTGCCCATGAGTGAGCTTTAAACCCCTGGCCACAACGTTGCCCCCTGCCCATTCTCTTGATACATTTCTAAACTGTGTTTCATTTCTAACTGCACAGTTGCATGTGGCTCAATAAGACAAACTGAGTGTGTTTCTAGTTTTCTGAGCCTATGTATACTAAGAAACAAAACTGGGCGATTAACCTCTAGCATGTGAGAACCAACTGTATACAAGGCAACTAATAGCTAACATTTATTGTTCTTACCAGTTATCTGGCACTGTTCTAAATACATCTTGTATTGATTGATTTACCCTTCCAAAAACCCTGAGAGATAGGTACTATTCTCATCCCTATTTTTCAGATGAGGAAATTGAGGAACAGAGAGGTTAAGCAACCTGCCCATGGCTACACAGCTAGGCAACAGTAGAGGAGAATACCAACCCAGGCAGTCTGGCTCCAGAGTTCAGGAATGTAACACACGGTGCTGCCTGCCTCACATGCTGGAGCAGTTGCTAGAGATAAAGACACCGCCAACACAAAAGCCCTTCTAGTTTGGGGGAGGTCCAAAATATACTCATTTTACAGCACAGAGCCCTGAGGCTAATTTGTACATAGAAGGTGCACTTGGTTTGGGCTCCATCATGTCCTCCCAGATGACCTGGCTGTATCTCTACTGACAAAGCCAAGTGAAGAAAGATGTGGAAATTCTTCAAACATGCCACACCTTGCAAATCGCATTCATTGATCAGGTCCAAATACTTGAAGTAGCCACACGTGTGTGTTTTGTGCGTGTGCACGGGGCTGCCTGAGAGGTTGGTCATTCCCCACTTCCCCTCCATGCTTTGCTCGCACCTGCCCAGGCTCACTGCACTGTGTGGCTGGCACCTGCCTCACCTACCAGCGTTCAGAGTGTGTGCCCTCCTGGTGACACGGACTCATTTGCTCTTTCAGGACCTACCCGACTTGGAAGATGTTGATACAGGCGAAACTCTGGAAGACAAGGACGAGGTTATAACACAGGTTTTCCCCAAACCAGCATAAGCCCACTTTCCCTTCCAGTCTTGCCATGTACAAAGCATATCACTTTCATTTGAAAGTAAGATGCTTTTTGTGCTGAAATCATTGCACACCTGCTATATTTTCACCTTTCTAAAGGAAATGCAGCTCATGGCCGTTGCGCCCCCCCTCTTCCTCCTCCTTTAAGGTTTTATGATTAAACACTGGGGTTTTCTTAAACATATTTTATTACTGATCTTTAATAACTATGTACTCCCTGACATTTTCCTGCTCTTCTGATGCACTTATATGTCTGTCTTATATAGCATGACTACAGCAATACAGAGAGTAAGAAAGGAGAAGGGGTGGAAGGAGTGTGTGAGGCACAATGGGGCGATCTCCCAATCCGACCTGACCCTTCTCCCTCCAGCATTACTGAGAGCCTGTGTGTGCCAGGCCCGGGCCCACAGGAGAGGAACGGAAGGATAAGACAGAATTTGTGCAGGACCTGTCACTGAGGAAGGGACCAGACACGAGACCACAGCTCCCATGGGGCCTGACCTCTAAGGGGCTAAGTCCGGGTGGCGGGGTTAGGTGTGTCAGAGGTCAAGACTCAGAGATGAGCCCATTCAGGGTCCCGGCAGGGTGTGGGTGTAGCCAGACAGAGTGGGCAGCGGGGAGACCCGTCAGAGGGTGAGAAAGAAATGTGGACATGGTTGTAGAGCTCACCACAACTTGGGGGCTCAACATAGCTGGCTAAGGGTGTCCATCCCGAGGCCCAACTTTCCAAGGGGCAGGGCTCTGCTCCCGTGGCCCTTTCCTGTATGTGGCAACTGAATATTTTGTGCTGGATAAAAGTGGAATTAGCATTGTGCATTTCAGAGTGATTCCAGTGACAGCAGAAATGTTCAAAGGCATCTTTTTTAAAAAAACAGATGTGCTTTCCAAAGATCACAACCATCTCGGGCTTGAGTGACGACAGTGATCCTGAGCTGGACGACACCTCCCTCGCGGTGCTGGAGAGCACGTCCACACCCCCCCTTTCCAACATATTCGCAATCTCCAAGGACACCGCCAGGAAGGCTGAGGCGCCCTATACGCACATATTTAAAGCGGCAGCTGAGAGGGACTTGGAGACTCAAAGCAGGGACACCACGTGCCCACGCCCACTGATTCAGGAGCTTGATGACGATGAGCCTTTGGACCAACCACCAACACCCCCAACCTGCAAAGGGGACGCCCCACCACCCCCTTCCAGTGACGGGTACGATGGCCTACCTTCGGCCTCTCCTCCAGGTAATGCTGCCCTATCTCAAGGCATTCCCAGGCGGGTGGCATCTCCGGGCTACTTAGGGGCATGCAGATCTTGGCAGTCAGGTTCAGCATGTGTAGACGGGGCTGGGGAGCCAGCTTTCACCCCTTTCCTCGCCATCCCAATCCTCAGCCTTTCCAGACCAAGGCTTCTAAGGGAAGGGGGAGACCGGTGACACCACAGCTGGGAGTGTGGGGACGCAGGCCTGACTGCGTCCCCTCCATGGTGAAGGTCCAGAATCAGGCAGGACGGGTGAGACAGTGCTGGGCGGGAAGGGAGGTTGTCCAGGCAGGGACAGTGGTGAGCAGCTGGCTGGGTGGGACAGATGAAGCCACTATCTGACATATTAGCCTGGCCTGGTGATGGGGCCCGAGCCTGTGACCAGGGAGATGCAGCTGTGAGGGTGCTGGCCAGTGCTTACTGATCACAAGCAAACTGGTGGGTATGTATTCACCAACTGCAGTGGGAACACAAACCTAGACAATTCCTGCTCTTCCTCAACACTCTCAAGGGCCAGGTTTCTCTCAGGACGCCTGCTTGCGTGGCTGACTCTAGGCCAGCCTGCGGGAAAAATGAGGGGGTGGCCATATTCCTTTCCCAGGAACACTGAGCCACCTCTCCTTTTAGGAAACAGCACTGAAAAGGAGGTGCGGTCTGAGACGCAGCCCAAGGAGCCCACAGTGCCTGAGGATCCCGCAGTGCCCAAGGCAGGGGCAGACCTGGAAGACATTGAATTTGGCTTGGACTGAACCCCCAGGCAGCCCCTCTGCCCTTGCACTAACAGGGAGCCAGCAGCGAGGTGCAGGTCACCCCCTGGGCCGGGCTCCCTTCCTTCTCCAATTCCTGAAAGTGCTCTGGGGCCTGGGTTGCGGCGTGTACTGTCGCACGACCCATCCCTCCCCTGCTCTCCCCCTGCAGTGTCGGGCAGCACTGTTCCTTGTTCTCAAAGCACAGCCCATTTCCCCGTTACTTGTGGTATAAATTGTACAACCGACAGTGTCTCATTTGAACATTATAAACATTTGAATATTCCCGTGAGGTAATGTGTTGTCAAATTATTTAAGATCTGAGCGAGTCACGTGAGCCATTTCATCAGACACCCTGAGATAAGGCCATTCCTCTCGCCACGTGTGACTGATCCGGAGCAGATCCGGCGTCCTGTGCAGTTTCAGGTGGGTGTTTTCGTCACCGGACAGCACCACCTCCCACCAGCTACAGAGCTTTGGGGAAATGAACTTTATGCATTAGACATCAAAAGCAATCGGTGCCCTAACTGGTTTGGCTCAGCGGGGAGAGCATCGGCCTGCGGACTGAAAGGTCCCAGGTTCGATTCTGGTCAAGGGCATGTACCTTGGTTGCGGGCACATCCCTAGTAGGTGTGCAGGAGGCAGCTGATCGATGTTTCTCTCTCATTGATGTTTCTAACTCTCTATCCCTCTCCCTTCCTTTGTGTAAAAAATCAATAAAATATCTATTAACCCCTTCCCCAACAATTTTTTTGTTAAAAACGTTTCTTTTTCAGACTAATTTTTTTATTTTGGTTCTATATAGTATTTTTGATGCTGGTTATGAAAACAGTTTGTAACTCGTCTTCCTATAAACCATATTTTTTTACCATATTTTCTTAGTATACTCGTCGACGACTGAAAAAGAACATTTTGTGAAAACGAGTATACACGTTTCTGCCGGGGAAGGGGTTAAAAAAAAAAGCAACATAAGTGAATACCTAAGTCCTAGAAACTATCATTCAAAACCATGCTCAGGCAACAAATTTATTCAATCCCTAAAGATGGGTCCAAAGTGTCTCCCTCTACAAAACATCAGCTCCTGGGAGAAACTGTGTACCACACACAACCGAGCCCACAGCAGCTGCCCACACGCACCGACCACCAGGCACCAGCAGCTCCTCAGTGTCTTGTTTCACTGTCCTGACCACGGTGAGGAGCTGACTAGGGGACACAGGGGACACAGGGGACACAGCCTGCATGAGGCGGAGCCAAGGGCCTGACTAGAGCCCCCGCATCAAGCACAGTGCTGCCTCCTGACGACAGACCCTCAGGACAGGACCGCTGCGGCCGTCAACCCGCCTCTGGAAGTATCTTCAGGAAAAGGAGAAACTAGTCTTGTTGTTCCTATTCCTCCTACTTGGCTCCAAACCACGTTTAAACGCCTCCCATCACAGTGGCCCCCAGGAAGCAGGTCTGTACCCTGAGACTGTTCCCTCTCCACTCCCTAAGTTCCAGTCACAGAAGGCACAGCTGGTCCGGGACCAGGGGCTCCCCAGAGGTGGGGGAGCAGCTTCCCGGGCCCTCAGAAGCCCATGCGCGGCTTCTTCCGGTGTGGCTGAGAGCCAGAGAGGACGTGCACCAGTTGCCTGGAGGGGGTGGCCCAGATGCTGGAGGTCTGGGAGGAGGGCGCAGTGGCACCTTCCGGGGTGTCCCTGTGGGGTGGCAGCTCAGCTGTGCCGTCCCGGAGGGTCCGCTGTCTGGAGGGGGTGGCCCGGGTACTGGAGGTCTGGGAGAGGGATGCAGAGGCACTTTCTGGAGTGTTCCCTTGAAGAGGTAGCTTGGCCATATAGTCCCGAAGGGTCTGCTGCCGCTCTGAGGGGATACCCTGGGCCCACAGATCCTGGGTCAGCTCCTGGGAAGGCAAGGTCACTGGGGACCGAGGCCTTGACACAGGGGATGTCCAGTCTGGGCTGTGAGGGGGGCTGGTGGCACCTGAGAGGTCCAGGTGGCCGCTGAGCGAGGAGAAGGTATTGGACAGCTGCATCCGCCGCTTGTGCCGCTTCGGCTGCCTCCCAGGGCCCGAGGTCCTGTCCTGCTGCTGCTCCCACCAGGCAGCCATCGGGCCTTCCCAGGCTGCGTCCAATCGCTCACTGAGTTCATCCTTGGGGCCCGGCTCGGGGCCAGGCGGTGGCTCTGCTGTGGGAAGCAAGCCCAGGTCCCTCTGCTGCAGGAGCCGCCCTTGGGCCATGGCCGCCCGGAGACCCTCTGGCACTTTCCCTTCAACCTTCTGCTGCTCCTTGAAGCTCAGCAGACGGCGGTGGGAAAAGGTGGGTGCGGCCCACACAGGGGGAGCCGGTGGCACCTCCAGAAGGGCCTTCAGCCACCTGCGGCAGCAAGCAGTGGCCTGGGGGCTCCAGGAAGCCGTAGGGGCATGGCAGTCGGGCCCGGGGTCACTGGGAGGCCTGGGGTCTTCCCGGAGGTGGAGGCGCTGGTGGAAAACATCTCCAGCCGCTGAGAGTTGGAAGAGCGACAGGACTGGTGTGGAGGAAGAAGATAGGATGGTGGCGGCCAGACCTGAAGACAGAAATGACAGTGAGTCCACAGCTGGCAGGGGTGCAGCCCCCCAAACTCACTCCCTCAGCCCAGCACACCTATGGTTGGCGCTTGTAGACGTTCCTGCAGCTGCCACTGACTCCTGGGCTCCAGCAGAGGGAATGCGGAGAGGGAGTCGCTCCTGGAAGGGAGAGACTGGGGGGGCCCTGCCAGCCGGGGTGTGGAGGCCCCCTCCCCTGGAAGAAGGACAGGCAGCTGAGGTCCTGTTCAGGCTCCAGCCCCGCCCGTCTTCCACGCGCCTCCTGCCCTCACTGGACCTCACCTGTGATGTGCAGCAGCTGCAGCTGCCCGCCCTGGCCTCCGAGGAGCAGCGGCCTTGCGCAGCCAGGGCGGGGTGGAGGCAGCAGCTGGGCCAGCAGGGGAGCCGAGGGGAGGCTGTGGTCCCACTTCAGCACGGGCACCAACGGGAGGCGTTCATCCATCAGGTAGAGTGAGAACTGGAGGCCCGAGCAGAAACGAGACAGAAGGGACGTAACAGATGGAGAAGAGGGTCTGATGTGGCCCCATGTGGCTCTCAGGATGAGTGCAAACCCCCAAGTGGTCATGCACTGTGCCAGGCCCTGACCACCTCTCCACCTTCATGTGCCCAGACCCACACAGGAGCATTTCCCAAGTGGGCAGCACCATCTTCCATCCGGATGGCACAGCTGGGAGAAGGGAGCTCAGGAGAGGTGTGGACAGAAACCCACCCAGCTTTTACCCAGCCTTCTCCTGACTCACCAGACCCTGGAACCTATGCTTGACACACCTACTAAGGCCCTGTGTGTCTGTGTGTGGAGGAGGGCGGGGGTAGGGGGGCACGTAGTGTGGTGGGGGGCCAGACCCTCAGACCTCCTTCCCTTTCCTGAGCACACGGGGAAGTGTCCAGCGTTGCAAAGACTGCTTTCCACTCCATGCCTTTCCTCCTCACCTGGCCCATCTCCACCAGCACCTCAAAGCCCTGTTCAGCTCTCACCCCTGGGAGGCTGTACCCACCCGCTAGTTAGCATGTTTCAGCCAGAGACTCATTAGGGTTTCGTGATTCTTATTTCACCTTCAGTTAGCTGTCCCGGGACCCTCTCTAGGGGCTGGCTGAGACAGTGCACAAGGGACAGGAGGGGGAAGGTGGCACTCACCTGGGTACAAATGAGATGGAGTGTGGGCTGCAGAGAATCGGGGCCGCACTCCCCCAGGTACTGGGTTAACAGGACACGTTCCCCTTTCTGGCATGATGCTTCTGCACCCACACGGAAGAGCAGCAAACCACAGCCTGGCGGGCCCTGGGGAGAAAGCCAGGTCAGCCCCCCAACAGTCTGAGGTTTGGGGCACCGCCAGTCTATAGGATTCCCTGGCCCTGCTGCTTTTCATGCCCATGCTAGCCCCCACCCCATGGATCTGCCCTATCTCACTGCTGAGCCTGGGACAATCCCCCAGCCCTCACCTGAGTGTCGATAATTTTCACTCCAGTGCGGTCACCCACAGTCAGAACCCGAGGGTGGGCGGTGAAGTCTGCCCAACGCCAAGGAGACGGGTCCCGAAACACAAGGGTCTCAGGATCCTTGTAGATTTGCTGAAGCCTTGGGGAGACATGGGTGGGGAGATGAGCAGATGGGGCTGGGAGCAGATGCGGGGCAACCTGGCCCTGCGTCCAGGACATATTGTGTGCGAAGTATGGGCTGCAGTTCAGGGGGAGCTGTGTGTGGGGTGGAAGGTTTTTGGGGAACGGGACATTACCCGTCATGGGGTGTCCACAGACAGACGGCTCCCGAACGGCTGCAGACCACCAGCTCCCCGGGCAGGTGAGGGCTACAGGGCATAAGTGTCATTAGTGCTATGCCACCCCCTTCTCCCATGCCTATCTCTTTGCCAACCAGCCCAATTCAGCCCCTACCTGAGGTTGATCCCCGTGGCCCCCTTCTCAACCTTTAGCACCTGGAGGGGGGCTGGCCGCCCCTGCCTGCTGACCTTCCACAGGGCACAGTGG